ATGGAGGATCTAAATTTAAAGAATTGGAGCAAAGCAGGCATACAAACTATAGATGATTTAATGACAGGATCAAATCTTAAATCATATGAACAAATACGTACTAAATTTGCTCTTCCAGAATGTGAAAAGTACAATTATATAAGGATTAAAAGCTACTTAAATAAAGTCCTAGATAAAGAAAAATCGGAAATTAAGTGTAAACTAAGAAACTTAATAAAGGGGAAAGATATGAGAAATCTACTAAAAAAGTGCAACTCGATATTGAGACAGGGGGAAGAAGATCTTACATTCCCAGCCATAGAGAAATGGGAGAAAGATTTGAAAAAAAAAAAAAAAGTTTGATAAAAAAAGAGTGGGAAAAAAGCATGGCTAACAGTTGCTAAATACATTAAATGTTTAAACTTAGTGGAGTTGCATTTTAAGATAATAAACAGACTATCTGGTCCCTAGCCGCCTGAATAAAATAGACCAGAACATATCAGACATATGCTGGAGGTGTGACAAAGAGGTAGGAGATTCAATACATATTTGGTGGAGCTGTCCCCTGATGGAAGAATTTGGGAAATTGTTTCTAAGTAAAATTCAAGGAATAACTGGAACTAAATTCCCCTTCTCTCCTGAAATGTTTATATTGCACCTAAACTTTAGCCAATACAATTTGGATCTGCAATATTTCTTCACTCATGCTCTAATAGCAGCAAAGATCTCAATATCTAGAAGGTGGAGAACTAAGATATTACCAAACTGGGAATTTGTAAAAAAAAAAAAAAAAAAACAGCTAATCCTACAATTAAAAATGGAAGGAGGTGTAAATAGAAATTTGTAGAAAAAAAAAGATTGTTGATATAGATAAATGGCTAAATAAATTGGCTGTAGCAGCTTAAATTAGGGAACAAATTAGGAAATAAAGAGAGAATAAAGTAAAAGCAACAACAAAGCTAACTCAATTATTAATATAGGAATACTATAGAGGACTATTAGAGAGGGAATTGTCACCATCTTTGTGTTTGTAGTGTATTTGTGCTATTTTTTTTTCTCTTGATAAACCAATGTTTTATAGAGTATAATAAGATATGCGGATTGATTAGAAAGGAAAAAAACAGTGATGATGACTAATGTACCAAGGCCTGAGATGCCGGAATTGCAGTAGAATATACAGGTGGGTACTGTCTGAAAAAATTTAAAAAAAAAGAAAAGAAAAAGGGCTACCACTAACTTGTAATGAAGTGTTTCTGACTATATGTGTTCTTTTACATTGTGAACTGAGTGAAATTAGCTGAAGGTGGTGCTTTGAATTTTATTCCTTGTGACCACAACTGTAGACTCAATGCGTGTTGAGTTTTAAGTTTTGGTCTCAGGTGCTGGATCAGAAAATCACAGACAGCAGTCGAATTTGCATTTGTATGGCTCTTGGACATTTAACTTGACCTGTCAACTGAAACTATTTATTTAATATGTATTTTGCTAGGATTGGTTAACTATAACATCATTGAAACAATCTAAATTCATCCTTTTAACATCTCAAGCTTGAATAGTGTAAGACAAGCATGTCAAACTCAAAGGCTAGCATGGGTCATATAAACAAGGTTTAAGTTTATGTGGGCTGCAAAAAAACAAAACCTTAAATTTTTATAGAAACATAGGTTTGTTTTAAAAAGTACAGTATAAAAAATAAAACAGCATCCCCATCCTTCTCGGACTGCTTCAGGGATACGGTAGGGAGGTTGTCGAAGGGGTGCCTGTCCAGGAGTCTCTACTTTATGGACAGCTAGGGTTCCTGAGAAAAGGTCGCCCTTTTCTCCCATAACAGCCCTTTAGCCTGTTAGTTTTCCGAGGGGCTTAACCTTTCCCCTAGCTGTACCAGGCTGGTCAAGTCGGTCTGGGGGTCCCTCTCTAATAAGTCAGGAAGCTGCAAGTTCTCGGGATCGTCGGTAGCGGGGGCACATACAGCAACAACGTCCTCCTGTCTGATATTCTTTTAGCATGTTCACATGAAAGGACCGTTGGATCCTTCCATCCGCACAGCTGGCAATAATATATGTGGTTTCACACACCTGGGCCACGACTTTATACGGCCCCTGCCAAGATGCTTGCATCTTGTTGTGTTTGTGTTGGCTTGAGTACTAGGACCTTTTGTCCTACCTGGAACACCCACTGTCGGGCACCCCGATCATACCACGTCTTCTGTCTTCCTTGGGCCGCCTGGAGGTTCTCTCTGACCATCAGAGACAGCTGCTCCATGCGGTCCCGAAGCTCTAGAACGTATGGTACTATGGTGGTCCCTTCTTGCTCTGTCTCTCCTTCCCAATGCCCCCGGATGAGATCAAGGGGCCCGTGGACTCTTCTCCCATAGAGTAACTCGAAAGGAGAGAACCCCCTGTAGATTCCTGGGGCACCTGTCACCAGTGGGGTACCTCAGGGATCTGTACTTGGACCCATTCTCTTTAATATTTTTATTAGTGATATTGCAGAAGGTCTTGATGGTAAGGTATGTCTTTTTGCTGATGATACTAAGATATGTAACAGGGTTGATGTTCCAGGAGGGATAAGCCAAATGACAAATGATTTAGGTAAACTAGAAAAATGGTCAGAATTGTGGCAACTGACATTTAATGTGGATAAGTGCAAGATAATGCATCTTGGACGTAAAAACCCAAGGGCAGAGTACAGAATATTTGATAGAGTCCCAACCTCAACATATGAGGAAAGGGATTTAGGGGTGATTATTTCAGATGACTTAAAGGTAGGCAGACAATGTAATAGAGCAGCAGGAAATGCTAGCAGAATGCTTGGTTGTATAGGGAGAGGTATTAGCAGTAGAAAGAGGGAAGTGCTCATGCCATTGTACAGAACACTGGTGAGACCTCACTTGGAGTATTGTACACAGTACTGGAGACCGTATCTTCAGAAGGATATTGATACCTTAGAGAGGGTTCAGAGAAGGGCTACTAAACTGGTTCATGGATTGCGGGATAAAACTTACCAGGAAAGGTTAAAGGATCTTAACATGTATAGCTTGGAGGAAAGACGAGACAGGGGGGATATGATAGAAACATTTAAATATATAAAGGGAATCAACACAGTAAAGGAGGAGACTACATTTAAAAGAAGAAAAACTACCACAACAAGAGGACATAGTCTTAAATTAGAGGGACAAAGGTTTAAAAATAATATCAGGAAGTATTACTTTACTGAGAGGGTAGTGGATGCATGGAATAGCCTTCCAGCTGAAGTGGTAGAGGTTAACACAGTAAAGGAGTTTAAGCATGCGTGGGATAGGCATAAGGCTATCCTAACTATAAGATAAGGCTAGGGACTAATGAAAGTATTTAGAAAATTGGGCAGACTAGATGGGCCGAATGGTGCTTATCTGCCGTCACATTCTATGTTTCTATGTTTCTCTCTGTATGCAAATAATAG